TAACACAAAAGACAAACAAATACACAGATCCACCGTATAGCCAACGTAATGTTGGGGCAAGTGCTGTTACAGTGAGGGAAAAAAGTATTTGATCCCCTGCTGATTTTGTACGTTTGCACACTCACAAAGAAATGATCAGTCTATAATTTTAATGGTAGGTTTATTTAAACAGTGAGAGACAGAATAACAAGAAAATCCAGAAAAAACACATGTCAAAAATGTTATAAATTGATTAGCATTTTAATGAGGGAAATAAGTATTTGACCCCCTCGCAATCAGAAAGAATTCTGGCTCCCAGGTGTATTTTATACAGGTAACGAGCTGAGATTAGGAGCACACTCGTAAAGGGAGTGCTCCTAATCTCAGCTTGTTACCTGTATATAAGACACCTGTCCACAGAAGCAATCAATCAATCAGATTCCAAACTCTCCACCATGGCCAAGACCAAAGAGCTCTCCAAGGATGTCAGGGACAAGATTGTAGACCTACACAAGGCTGGAATGGGCTACAAGACCATTGCCAAGCAGCTTGGTGAGAAGGTGACAACAGTTGGTGTAATTATTCGCAAATGGAAGAAACACAAAAGAACTGTCAATCTCCCTCGGCCTGGGGCTCCATGCAAGATCTCACCTCGTGGAGTTGCAATGATCATGAGAACGGTGAGGAATCAGCCCAGAACTACACGGGAGGATCTTGTCAATGATCTCAAGGCAGCTCGGACCATAGTCACCAAGAAAACAATTGGTAACACACTACACCGTGAAGGACTGAAATCCTGCAGCGCCCGCAAGGTCCCCCTGCTCAAGAAAGCACATATACATGCCCGTCTGAAGTTTGCCAATGAACATCTGAATGATCAGAGGACAAATGGGTGAAAGTGTTGTGGTCAGATGAGATCAAAATGGAGCTCTTTGGCATCAACTCAACTCGCCGTGTTTGGAGGAGGAGGAATGCTGCCTATGACCCCAAGAACACCATCCCCACCATCAAACATGGAGGTGGAAACATTATGCTTTGGGGGTGTTTTTCTGCTAAGGGGATAGGACAACTTCACCGCATCAAAGGGACGATGGACGGGGCCATGTATCGTCAAATCTTGGGTGAGAACCTCCTTCCCTCAGCCAGGGCATTGAAAATGGGTCGTGGATGGGTATTCCAGCATGACAATGACCCAAAACACACGGCCAAGGCAACAAAGGAGTGGCTCAAGAAGAAGCACATTAAGGTGGGATGTGGCCTAGCCAGTCTCCAGACCTTAATGCCATAGAAAATCTGTGGAGGGAGCTGAAGGTTCGAGTTGCCAAACGTCAGCCTCGAAACCTTAATGACTTGGAGAAGATCTGCAAAGAGGAGTGGGACAAAATCCATCCTGAGATGTGTGCAAACCTGGTGGCCAACTACAAGAAACGTCTGACCTCTGTGATTGCCAACAAGGGTTTTGCCACCAAGTACTAAGTCATGTTTTGTAGAGGGGTCAAATACTTATTTCCCTCATTAAAATGGCAATCAATTTATAACATTTTTGACATGCGTTTTTTCTGGATGTTTTTGTTGTTATTCTGTATCTCACTGTTCAAATAAACCTACCATTAAAATTATAAACTGATCATTTCTTTGTCAGCGGGCAAACGTACAAAATCAGCAGGGGATCAAATACTTTTTTCCCTCACTGTATTTACCTTGTAATGTAGCATTACATTACACATGAAAGGTAAATAACCTACATGCTGAGATTACTTTGGGGCATGAGTGTGCGTTAGCCAGCGGTGGGAATCGCACGTTCACAGAGAGGACTTAGTGTCTCGTGAGGTGGCCCGACTGGTGGCCACCGGTGGCTTCCACCAATCGGTGAGGCCACAGCGGGTGCACGTTAACTGGCCCACGAGGGCTGTTACGTGGGTACGCTCAGACTAACCGAATCGGCAGAACGTATTGGGCAATTCTACAACCGCACGTTCACAGAGAGGACTTAGCAGGGGATCAAATACTTTTTTCCCTCACTGTAGTATGCAATATAATAGTCCAGCCATTCCAATGCAGGAGACTCCTGAATAAAAATGCCGTGCGACTCAGTGACGTTCCCTATATTTTAAATATGGAGCATTACTTATAATAATAATAATTACATTTTATATCACGGTGTTCATGCAAAACTGCATCTCACAAAGCTGTAAAAAACAACAACCAAACAATCATATATATTCTCCCTCACAAAAAAATATATATTAGTGGAGGAGTGGTCGCTCAGTGGTTAGCGCGCTGCACTGCAAACCCAGCCGTCGATTCCAGGCAATGCTAAATCATCAGTGATGAATGTTACCTGAACCAATCCTAGGCTTCCTCTCTTAACCGTCTTGCACTGCCCAGGGTGGTGAAAGTATGGTCAAATAACCAGCACGATCGATATGGTATGGGAAAGGTTTCATCCACCAGTGCATTGCCAAAGTCTGTAAGTTATCATTCTGCTTTTGAGAGTTTAATATCAATGTGGAGTGACGTTAATTTTGAACGTGTATAATACAATCTGTTTAAAAAAACTGAAAATTAATCGTATCTAAATCTGTACAGAACTTTTAAGACACAGCCTCATAAGTGATTTAGTCGAAGTGGGGTTTAGTTTTAATTAAGTCACTGCAAAATACAACTCACAAAGCAAATATAATATGTAATGCACTCAACAGCATAACTTTCTGAATAAAAGCGTGAATGCAACTGTGTAAATAAACATTGTGAGCTAATGCCCCAATTAGATATGCTAATCAAGTGATGAATGTTCACGCATTAACAAGAATTTTCATAGCAGAGCATCAATCTCATCATCACATCAACGTCTATCGTTTTCTTTTATTGTTTCCATCCGAATGATGCAGTGGCTCGCTACCCAGTCAACGTGCAACGTTGGGACAACATTGGCATTTGCTTGGAACTAATGTACCGTACCAACATTGGTCCAACGTTGGCTGAACGTTCCACGTTTACTGCGTCAGCTGGAAATTTGCAGAGCTCCCAATTAGAAGATGATGAGTTAAAAATCCCAGCTGGAGTCTGACTCAGGCTCCAGTCTGACTCAGGCTCCAGCTAGCACGGTTGGCTACGTGCAGTGCGAATTAAGTTTAATATACATACTTACAGCCCATCACACCTTTACTGTGGTAAAATGAGTAACAGTGTTCAATGTCCGCTATGTATAGTCATGCTGCAGGAATATGCTATATCCGTATCACAATTTCAGGACCATCAGTGAGCACTGGCACACCGCTCACTTGATTTCAGGCAACTTGGACTCGCTCTAACGTAATCTGATGCAAAAATTAAAGGTGGCAAATTCAATTAAAGAAACCAAATTTTAAGTCTTGGTTGTGATTTTTTCAGTTCTCGCTGACATTGTAGCGCATTCAGGTCCCATGAGCCTCTATCCAGGCTTTTTTCTTCTTAAACAAGCAATGGAAATGCAGTGGCCATTACCTTCAATTATATTTGTAACACTCCTATATGCATACAACTGGATGGAATGAGACATGGGATAACTGGTTTAAACTCACAAACAGCTTTTCCGGTCACTTTGAACCCAGAGACAGCCCGACACAAAGCATGGCATATGTTTACCACGCCTCTGGGAAGTATGGATAGGTGCCTTCGCTTGATTCATTGAGTCTTGGGCATTTTCATTAAATCCAGATCAATAATTTATGCAGTTTGCAATTGATATATGCCGGCTAATTATTATACACAGACCTCTCAAAGAGTCAGGGACTCTGGGGCAAAGCCCTTGACTCACAATCAGAAGGCTGGAGATTAGAGCACCGGTTGCGAGTCAAGTTAACCCATCGTCCATCTGGGGTCGATAAAAGGAGTACAGTAATCTTTAATTTTTCACGAACCTGCGAATCGCATCTGGAACTCTACACGACTGCATTGAGAGAGATAGTGATGATATACAGTGATGACAGATAAAGTGATGAGAGGTAAAAAGATGAGCGACAAAGTGATGAGATAAAGTGATGAGATAGTAATGACATCACAACGATCATCACCATCACTGTCGTCATTATCATCATTGTCGTCATCATCGTTACAGAATCCTTCTTCTGCACAGCATCATCATAATTTAAGATACGTTCATTTATAAACTATTATTTAATTTACTTTATGTTTATTATGACCAATTTCTTGGTGTGTCCATATAATTTATATGCATTTAATAGCTTATTTATGTATTCATTTAAGGTAATTCATTCATAGGCCTAAATGATTATCCGCAAAATGTGCTATTCACAAGCATCTCCGGAACGTATCCCCCGCGGATAACGAGGAAACGCTGCACTACATTGTGAAAAGTCTACAGTGGCTGTCCAGTGGAAAAAAGGTGGCCTCTGCCTTGAGAATCTGGAGTTTACACCACAAAGTCAGGACCACCAACAGAAAACGAACTCCAAGCAACTTCCAGAGATGTGCAGAATCCTCGCCAACAGTTTGGCGAGCTGCAGTCATATTTAGGTACATGTGCAGCCTTGCGATGACCTCCTCATGCCACTGCTAGAGGGGCCTTTACTCTGGGGAGCTCAAGACAGCCCCGACCGAGGGCATTTTCGCAGACTCTTCCACACTGGCCACATGTCTGGGGAAAGGTGGGAATACTCACACTTCTGCCCGCCACATGCGAGCTGCCAATCGACTAACTGTGGTGCATTCACGTCCACTGCTAGGTGGACACAGGCAGGGGGGCCAGGGGTGGGGATTTAAGAAACGTTTCCACCATTATTTGAACTGCCGCGACCTACGGATTGCAAGTCCAATGTGATAACCATTACACCACAGCAGCCCCACTTTAGTGGCATGTTTAACGATATGTAAATCCAAGTAAGATTATCCGGCGCACACACGAGATCGCAGGGATGCCAAAGCAGTTCTGTGGCTCGGTTGTCGGCCGTCTGGCTCAAAAAGTGACGACGGAGCGTGTGAAGCAGAGTGCAAGATGGTGCGGGCGTGCATCCGCTTGCCTGCAAGGATGCCCCAGGGCAAGGGTGGCAGCAGCGTGCAGGTCAGGCGCGTGTAGACAGCCGTGCAGGCTGCATGCAGCAGCACATTCGCCAGGTGGTAGCCCCAGGGCTCCAGGCCGCCCAGCGCAAAGTTGAGGCGGAACGAGAGCGTGCAGAGCGGCCGGAACGACTTGTGGCTGCCGCTGTGCGACAGCGGCGTCCCCCAGAAGTCGTCGTAGAACACCCGCGTCCACGGCACGTCAGGGCGCAGGTCCTGGTTGGACGTAATGGCTCGGCTGCCGAACAAGAGGAGAGGACCATTGACGTCACCATCGTTCAAGACTTGACGTTGCATGGCACACAAGTAAAACATGAATAGTATTGCAGAAATCAACCGGTCCGCAGTTTTCGATCGCTGCATCACTGCTGCTGTCAGCTGATCATATTTGTTCAGAATTATTGAGGGTGGCTGAAGACAAGGGGACCCCACAATGCACTTCTTCATGAATCCCGGTGATTTTTGTTTGTAAAAGCACAGAGGCTGTCAGCTTTTTGCACGTTTGTGTCTTGTTTGAAAAATGGCAAAGAGCCAACGATATTAAGGAGCTCAGTTGAACAGAGCACTGTACATTGGAAGCACACACGAAACCAGATCACACGAATCTTCCAAGAGGAGAGGAGATACATTTAGGGTGAAGCGTTGCACACAATATGACGACCATACGGCATACCGTTTCATCACTAATTTGTGAACGCGAACCACCAAAATTAAATGCAACCTTTTCAATTCCCCTGCAAGAGGTAGGAAGAGTCGGCTTTCCATTTGTATTCGTATGTATAGTACACAACACTACTTCTACTTGTGCACCTTAACAACATGATAGTTGTAACCTGTTTGCTTGAAATCACACTCGGACAACAAAGCTGCAGTTAAAACCGACTTGCGTAAGCCATCACAGAGCACGTTGTGCGCTATCGGGCCAGAACGCGGCAAACAAGCGAGTGAATTCATTACTATTCGAAAGTAAGCTGATATTTAACCATACTTCACCACACTGGTTGATGGAGAAGGTACAAGGAGGGGTGGGTGGGTGCCAAGGGCCCACTAATTCAAATATCGCTCGCCGCTGCATGAAACGTGGCCAGGAGTTACATCGGGTTGGTGGGTTCAATGCGTTACACCAACAACGTGAACATGAATAATAATAATATTGTTTATTTCTCTAATTCAATATTTAATGAGTAGCTTGTTTCATGAGAGCTGAGGGGTAACCATTAGCTGCCTACGTCTAGATAAGATATATTTAGGATTACTGTTTAACACGTAGGCTTTCGCGACCAATTACTGGCGAAACGTCGTACTCAGATTGTAAATGTTGTGGCTTGGCTCTCCAACACACCGGTGTGCTGTACTAGTAACGAATTGGCATGTTTTGTTTACGTGACAAACCTTACTAATCGGCTGTGTCGGGTGGTGGCGGGTTTAATGACACATTTATATTTACGTGATCTAACCCAAAAAAACTGTATTATGTAGGATTACTGTGTTTGGTTTAAATGCTCTAGACAGAGATCTGAGCTGAGACAAGCTGGCAATAATGATTGGGAGAGAAAAATAAACCAAGCCAGCTTGCATAGCAGCCATTTACCCCCTTTGTATGTCTGTATTTCTCTGTCAAGGAATGCCCAAAACCAACATTGTTAAATTGATTTACCAACAGCAAGACAACAATGCCTTGATATGTCTCAGTGCTTTGATGTCAGGATAAAATAATATTTTAAAAAATACTGTATGTTAAAAAAATATCAGGTTATCATGGCGGGCATGAAAATGTGTGAACACGAGCGCTGACAAAGAAACAGACACACACACACACTGAGCAACCCCAATAATTGAGATCCAACAGATTTTCACTTAGAAATAAAATGAACGTGGTGCTTGGAAGTGGAGAACACAACAGCCCACTTTGGGCTGCCAGTGCAAGACGTATATATCCAGCACTGATCTCAAGAGAAATATGTGTGGGCCAAACATCGTTCTTATGCCCTTACCTTGCCAATATTGGTACATAACTCAATGGTGCCTTTGAAACTCGGCGCGGATTGTGTGCCAAAAAACCAAAAGCCATTTTCCAAACGGAGTAATCCAATTCCAGCCTGGTGTACTGCGATCGCAGATTAAATGGGGATGATGTACATAGAACCCTTCTTTGCATTGTGGCCAAGGTTAGTATGCACGTGTATCCTAAGCATCTCAGCACGTTCTAAAGAAAGTTAAAACGATTTAATTTCGAGCATACAATAACAAAAAAATATAAAACAGGCAGCCTCATTACCATGGCATTAATCACAGGGGATATCTTTTAATTAACTTGCGGCAAATCTCGAGTGCGCAATTGTGCTCAATTCTAAGCCGTGATTCCCTGCAATCGCCGCGACGGGCGATCAAAAAATTGTTTGTGTCGAACAAAGCGAGGCCCACGTGCGTCCAATACAAGTCGACGCCGATTTCAAAGAGACTTGGATTCGCCACAGTGCGGACTGCATTCTATAAATTAGGAACAGTGTTCCAGTGCCAATGCCCCTCATGGGTTTAACACAGACAGCTGGGTTTCACGTTGTTATGGGTGTGTGTTTGTGAAAGTGTTTACCACATATGCACGTGAATGTGATGTGCGTGTGTGCTTGCGCGCTTGTCTCGAACATGGTGGGAAGCGGTAGTGGAGTGGTTAGCGCGCTGTGCTACGAACCCGGCGGCCAGAGTTCAATCCCTGCTCACGGCCAACACCAGTAGCGATTATCTCAATTGGTACTGGGCCTATCCTAGGTTGACTCAGCCTCAAATGAGTACCTAGTGTGTACACATCGCCACTGAGTAGACAAAGGTGGCCAGGTGTGGTCTTTGTGTACCGTGCCGGCCTTCATAGGTGCTGATGAACAGCAACTGCCCCAAAAGTCTATTAAGGTTATAAGGAGGATCTTTGTCTTGTGTAGAGCATGGTGCTGTAGTGAACGTACTGCACTACAATCTCGGTCACCTGGCTTTGTCTTGTGTAGAGCATGGTGCTGTAGTGAACGTACTGCACTACAATCTCGGTCACCTGGCTTTGTCTTGTGTAGAGCATGGTGCTGTAGTGAACGTACTGCACTACAATCTCAGTGACCTGGCTTTGTCTTGTGTAGAGCATGGTGCTGTAGTGAACGTACTCCACTACAATCGCGGTGACCTGGTTGTAACTCCCATGAACGGTCACGCATATCAGCGGAAAGTCATATGTAAAACTATCCTGGGTCATCCCTAGGTTAACGCAACCTTACGTGCCTGAACAATAGCAATGAGGAGACAAGGGTCGCAGTTAGCCACACTACCATCTCACGTGTCATGCCGGCCTGAGTCGGTGCTCGCTTGAACACTTTCATGGTTTATTGGACTTCACAGGAGATCTTTCTTTACTTTGTGTATACAGTATGTGCGAGTACATTTTTCCAATTTATCCTTCATTGACTGTTGGCAGATCACATGAGCGAGTGGTTTTAGGAGCCGTGGCACAGTGGTTAGAAAACTGTACAAAACACTATGATGCCATCACATTCCTGGCAGCCTACATTCAATTTCTAGCCATGCACCGATAGCAATTTTTTTTTATCTTATCTTGATCTGTTTCCCCGAGGTCAATTCAGTCCAAAATTAGCAACATGTGCAGTGTGACAATATCAGTACATGGCAGATAAGAGTGGCGAGGCATGGAGCCAGCCACTGCAACCTGTCATGTGCCATGCTAGCCTTTTTTACGGGCAATTGTCCAAGTCAGTCTTGTAAGGATACACAGTGGGACATGTTTGTGCACATCTATATTTTGGGATTCAGTTTAGAGCGCAAACAGCACCTCAAACGGCTCCTCCGAAGGCCCACGTAATCACACGATTAAATTGTGAGTCTTGTGGTCAAGTCGCAAATAGGATTTAACGGAACGCGTCCAAGGGGACGTCCGTCGGGGAGATGAGGCGATGCGGTCAACTCGCGCACGGCTGCTACGTGAGAAACGGTGGTGGGCTTGTGGAGATCTTCATCCAGCAGTGGATTTACCATGGTCGATGTTGATGATGAGGAACCAACAGCAGCGTCTTTATCCCACTAAGTCACAGGCAGTGCTTACAAAAAGGGGGTGGGGTGGGGGGAGCAGCGTGACGTTTCTTGGTGACTGCCAGTGTAAAGGGATGTCCCCCTAGGCAATGCCCCCTTACCCATGGGGCAGGACACCAGGTAAGTTTCACGTAACACGCAAAGGACGTAAGTTTGACTCCCTATGTTGGGGCGCGATGTAAATTCGAATGGATAACAAGTACTACATTTTTGTCATCAATACCAATTGTGTCTTGATTTGAAGCTTTCGTGACTGCAGGAATCCTTACTCTTTGGTTCTTTCGGTAAAGTCACGTGGGTAGAAACATAATAGATCACGACGTTTCTATCACAACACAAGCAACCGTGTGTTGTTGCGACCGAAACATCGCGATATATTATTTTTTGCTGCCTATGTGACTTTACCGAAAGAACCAAAGAGTATGAATACCAATTGTGGTTATGAAAAGGGTAAATTCTAACTTTAAAATGAATATAAATTTAAACTAAATTGTGTATTTTTTATCCACTAGTTTCTTAACCACTTTGTATTTGCTAATAACATTCATGGCATGTTAAGCATGTAACGAATGTTAAGGCCAATTAAAACCAACGTTCTATCGCATTTCCTAGTCTCCTGACTGTGAAATGCTATTTTACACTTGGTTACTCTAGAATATTTTGTTATTTGGCTTTCACCTGGCTTTAAAAGTAGGTCTACTATTCAGTGTGAACAGTAAAAAGTACAATAAATAATAATTCCAATGCTTTTTTTTTTGCAATTAAATTACAGCATTTGACTTTTACTGGCTTTCCTAGCAAGTCCGTTGCAAACTGCAGGGACTTTAATTGGCGGTGCCAAATGCTCTCGTTCCCCCAAGGGGTGGGTGATACCTGTGCACATGCACACAGCTTCCCCCTATACGTATCTGGTTGTAGCCGTAAGCGAACACACAGAACCCTGTGGTCAGCTTGCCGAAAAAAAACCCTGTGAGTCATTTCTGCAGGGAATATCTAAAAAGCCACACCTGTAAATGTGTCATTAAACACTCACGACAAGAACAATGCGCAAAAAAACAGTGGTGAAAACCAACACTACCACCAGTATGCCAATGTGAAATACTTTTCCCAGAAAGCAACATCATTGAACCTATTTATAGCGTACATAGAGTT